ACCCAGTAATCCTTACCCATAGCGATTTCTATACCCAGTAATCCTTACCCATAGCGATTTCTATACCCAGTAATCCTTACCCATAGCGATTTTTACACCCAGTAATCCTTACCCATAGCGATTTCTATACCCAGTAATTCTTACCCATAGCGATTTCTATACCCAGTAATCCTTACCCATAGCGATTTCTACACCCAGTAATCCTTACCCATAGCGATTTCTACACCCAGTAATCCTTACCCATAGCGATTTCTATACCCAGTAATTCTTACCCATAGTGATTTCTACACCCAGTAAATCTTATACCTAGCGATTTTTACACCCATTAATTCTTATACCTCGAGATTTCTACAACCAGTAATTCTTATTTCTAGTGATTTCTACACCAAGCAATTCTTATACCTAGTGATTTCTACACCCAGTAATTCTTATTTCTAGTGATTTTTACACCCATTAATTCTTATACCTAGTGATTTCTACACCCAGCAATTCTTATACCTAGTGATTTCTACACCCAGTAATTCTTATTTCTAGTGATTTTTACACCCATTTATTCTTATACCTAGTGATTTCTACACCCAGCAATTCTTATACCTAGTGATTTTACACCCTTTAATTCTTATACTTAGTGATTTCTACACCCAGCAATTCTTATACCTAGTGATTTCTACACCCAGTAATTCTTATACCTAGCGATTTCTACACCCAGCAATTCTTATACCTAGTGATTTCTACACCCAGCGATTCTTATACCTAGTGATTTTACACCCATTAATTCTTATACCTAGTGATTTTACACCCATTAATTCTTATACCTAGTGATTTCTACACCCAGCAATTCTTATACCTAGTGATTTCTACACCCAGTAATTCTTATACCTAGTGATTTCTACACCCAGTAATTCTTATACCTAGTGATTTCTACACCCATTAATTTTTATACCTAGAGATTTCCACACCCAGCAATTCTTATACCTAGTGATTTCTACACCCAGTAATTCTTATACCTAGTGATTTCTACACCCAGTAATTCTTATACCTAGCGATCTCTACACCCAGCAATTCTTATATCTAAAGATTTCTACACCCAGTAATTCTTATACCTAGTGATTTCTACACCCAGTAATTCTTATACCTAGCGATCTCTACACCCAGCAATTCTTATATCTAAAGATTTCTACACCCAGTAATTCTTATACCTAGTGATTTCTACACCCAGTAATTCTTATACCTAGTGATTTCTACACCCAGTATATCTTATACCTAGTGATCTCTACACCCAGTAATTCTTATACCTAGTGATTTCTACACCCAGTAATTCTTATACCTAGCGATCTCTACACCCAGCAATTCTTATATCTAAAGATTTCTACACCCAGTAATTCTTATACCTAGTGATTTCTACACCCATTAATTCTTATACCTAGCGATCTCTACACCCAACAATTCTTATATCTAAAGATTTCTACACCCAGTAATTCTTATATCTGATGATTTCTACACCCAGTAATTCTTATATCTAATGATTTCTACAACAAGTAATTCTTATACCTCTGCGATTTCTACACACCCAATAAATCTTATACCTAGCGATCTCTATACAGCTATTCTTATACTCGGTCATTTTTACAAACAACCATTCTTTTATCTAGTGACTTAGCTATTCGTTTTCTTAGTTACTTAGCATTACTTTTACGTAGTGACTTAGATTTTCTTTTACGTAGTGACTTAGCTATCCTTTTACTTGGTGACTTAGCTATTCGTTTACTTATAGTGACTAAGCTATTCGTTTAATTAGTGACTAAGCTTTTCGTTTACTTAGTGACTTAGCTTTTCTTTTACTTAGTGACTTAGCTATCCTTTGACTTAGTGACTTAGCTATTCATTCACTTAGTGCTTTCTACAACCACTACTTACCATATGTACCTGCCCTAACATTTGGAGGTAGT